ACGAGAACCTCCGAGACCGCCTGCCACGCCTGAATGCCGCAACCTTCTCCATTCTACCACATCTCCTCGCGAACCAGATCGTGCTGCAAAACAACCTGATTGGAAACTTGTACACTGTACTACACCAGTACTCACACGAGCAAGGATACCCCGATCCACCACCAGAGCCAGAGGAAGTTATCCCACTATGGGACTCCAACTTTACACCACTGCGCCAGGAAATGGAGACCAGCCTGGGCCTGCTGAAGACGGGCAAGGCGGTCCATTTGCCAATGAGACTACCAGATAAGGGAGAGACGTTGACAGGCTTGGGCATTAGGAATAAAGTCATGCCTGGTCGGAGAGTCAGCAGCAGCGACAGTGTGCCCACCATCACAGGAGGCGGAAGACCCCCGCGACCATCCCAGACCTTGTCATCGACCTCCGAAAATGGCCCGCCCATCAGCCTCTCTAATAAGCCCTCATACAGCTCTCTCAGCGCCTCGAAGCCCAAGATCGGCGGTTCACCGCATCTGAGCGCTGGGCAGGGTATGTATGACCGCCGTCTCTCGTCCACATCCCAGGCTTCCTCTTATTCAAATGGAACCAACGGTGATTCTTATTTCAACAACAACAAGATATCCTCTGCTTCAAACGGCTCAACTCCAACCGGCTATCCCTCGTCACCTAACCCGGCTGCAGGGAAGAAGAAGCCGCCCCCACCGCCACCGAAGAAGATAGCGTCTTTCCAGTACGAGTACGTTACAGCCATGTATGATTTTGACAGTCTCACGGATGGCGATCTGCACTTCAAAGAAGGCGACCGAATTCGCGTGATCAAAAAGACGCAAAGCTCGCAGGACTGGTGGCAGGGTGAAGTCAATGGAAAGCAGGGCAGCTTTCCTGCAAACTACTGCAAATGATCTGGTCAATGCGATGAGATGAGAAGGCTGCAATGATATCCAAAACTGCATTAGAAGGTGGCGTTACGGTAATTTGGCACTCTTTACGGCATCACAAGCAGAACGATTAGGAAGAAACTTGGCAATTCAAATTGAGTAGCTTTTGTTTTCCTGTACAAACTGGGGTTGCATCCGGACTTTGATAGCAGGAGTATGATGGCGTGCAATCCACTCCATGCCATACTCAGGCTTGATACGTGATATGGATGAGACACAATGAATCGAGTGAGGTTGACAACCAGACCGCGCCTTCCAAGGTTCTCTCATGGTGGTGGCTCGGTACCTGTTCGCTACTATTAATAGTGTTGACGAAGCCGCTCACCAATGGGACCCCCAGGGCACATCTGCGTCCGTGAGCCAAACTTCAGCTCGAGGCAGTCTAGCCCCCGCCTCCAGCCCCCACATTGCTGTTCGTAGCTCCCGCGCGCCGTCGAGAAGGCGCAGTTGCTGCTTCCCTGCGTCATGAGGTGCCTGCCTGCTGCGCGCAGGTGTGCCTGCATCTATGAGCCTCGTGCGACAGCCGCAGCAGGCTTGTCGGCGTCAAGCGTCATATAGAGCACCGCGCCGCACTCCACTCATACCATAACCCACTATCCTATCGCTAATGGACAGTATGGCTGATAAGATCACAATACAGACGGTAGGTGGAGCCTGACAGCATTGGTATGCGCTGAGCGAGTGCTTACAAGTACCAGAACAGCGCTTTGACACCGCCCTTCTCTCCCCGTCCCATCCCACCCCCAACCGCCACCGCTGCCACACTTAGTAGTCCCACATCGCCATCCGAGAACACGCATCAGAATGGGCATATCAATACCAGCCTGGGTCGGACCACGACAGGCCCGCAACCGCGTGAGCCCGTGCTCGACTCGGTCATAGCAATACCGCTCACGGCGGAAGAGTCCCTCCCCACCATAAGCGGCAAGAACAACGAAGCATACCTCACCAACGACGACCCCCGTCAGTTCCTCTTATACGACCTCGATCTCTCTCGCTTGAACCGCATACATGGACACCTATGGATGGCAGGCCGGCCCATGCGCGCCAGGCCATTGCATAGATACACGATGCTGGGCATGGAAGTGCTAGGCACGCAACAAATGGATCTACATCTGCTGAAGTACTCGACCAAGCTTATAGTCAAGCCGTTGCCGGAATGGATGCTCAGCTATGAGTTCTGGCAAGAGTATATTTGCAAGCCTGCGGATGCGGATCCTGATGACGAGACAGCAAAAGGCCTGTGGGAGAGTGCGGCAGGATTTCTTGTGAGCTATGTGTGGCTTATCACTACACCGCTGGACTTGAGGATTGCGCACGAGTACACGCTTCTACCGAGCTTTGTCACCTGGCACTGGTGGAAAGCTTTCGTGAAGGATTTCATGGGCCATGTGGATATCAACACGCTACAGCAAGTCAACAAACGGTATCAGTTTGGCGATCTCAGGTTGGGAAGAATCAACAGCATCTATCGGACACGATTTGCGCATACGCATTTCGTGAGAGGGTATCTGTGAGTCCATCTCTTGTCCATTGAAAGCAATCGCTTGGGTAGGTTCATCTGCTAACGCACCTCGAATAGCTACGGATACAATCGCTACGTCATCTTCTTCCAGCGAAACTTCTCCTGGATCCTCATCGTGTTCGTGTTCTTTAGTCTGGTTCTGTCCGCCATGCAAGTTGGAGTGGGTCTGGAGGAACTCAAAGATAATCACCATTTCCTTGATGCCACTTATTACTTCGTTGTTTTCAGCATGGTACGTACTCGCATCGCACGAGATGAAACGTTGTGGTGGCTGACTCTCTTCAGATATCCGTGGTCGTCGTACTGGCATTCGTTACGATTGTCTTTATCGGCATCTTTCTCTTCAACATGTACAAGGCTATCACGCATGCGGGGAGTACACAGAAGTGGAGACTTAAGATGTTTCGGAGGAATCAGGAGGAGGGTAAGGATGCTTGATATGCGTCGCGATGAGATTTCCATGATTGACGGCATTCATTTCCTGATACCCAATACTTATTAAATCAGTATTTCAATCCATACCAAAATTCCCCGTTCTAACTCTCCTCATCCCGTCCCTTCTCCTTCTCCAGGGCCACAGGATCCACTTCCTGCTTCCGCTTCGCAATCCGGAACATACCACCATGATACCACAACGCCAACACTGCAGCCATCGCCGACAAAGCCGACGGCACAACCATCGCCACTTTCAAAACCATACTGTACTGCCCCTCGGGCGCGCCTACCACTTTACTAACTGCCATACCGATTCCCCCGAGACTGTTCACGAACGCGGGAAAGAAAACCCAGTTTATCAACCACTGAACCTTCCTCTGGTATTTCCACCATAGATACAACCAGCCTAGTAGACCGACGCAGCAACCAAGGGCACAGAGATAAAATGAACCCGAGATCTGTATATCTGTAGGTGGTAGGTCATCATACACTTCAGGACAGTCCCAGTATTCCTCATATTCTATGCATCCGGCGTATTCGTCGATGGTGTTTAGCTGTGGGAAGAATGATGGGAGGATGATGTAGCCGAGGAGGGTACACCAGGAGAAGATCTGCGCGAGGAGTCTGTCGGTGTAGGAAACGCTGTCGTTGTAGGATGCGGGTTTCAAGAAGGATCGCAGGCTAAAGGGCATGGTGTTGTTGCGTGGGTTTCGCTGGTGTGATCTACGCGTTGGGTTTTCGCGTTTCGTGCTGGTGGTGAAACTTGGGTTGGGTATTACGTCATCGCTTGGGCGCGACGAGGCGAGGCGGCGCTGGCGCGTTGTGTCTACCCTCAACGAATTCTGGGCTCACGGCACGGTTCTTGGTGTTTGCATCAACCTTTCCTTCGCGACGGAAAAATCGCTTTTGGTACTGGTGAGGCCTGCGATGGATCTTTGCGTCGTCGTTTTGACCCTTCTCGGCGCACGATGAGGGCGGCGCGAGCGCGTTGGGTTTGCCTCAACTGTAAGGCGATCCAAACCATCACACCAACGATCTCTGTGCCTCCATCGACCTTTCCTTCTCGATGGAAGAATCGCTTTTGGAAGTGGTGAGGCCTGTAACGGGCATCATATCGCCGCTTTGGCGCACGACCAGGCGGGGCGGCGCTGGCGGGTTGTCTCTGCCTTGACGATCTCTGTGCCTACGGCACGGTTTCCTGGTGCATCAATCACATCGACCTTTCCTTCGCGATGGAAGAATTGATTTTGAAACGATAGAGTACGAGACTGTTGTTAGTGCCTGTTTCGAGTACCTGAGGTGAATGCGGCGTGATAATGCTACGACGTCGGGACGTCTTCACAACTGATCACCATCATAAGACTGATGGAAACTGAGCGGCAGCTGATGTGGCCGCTACGAAATGTCTGCGAAGTCAGAGGCATTCGAGGGGAAGAAGAAGATGCACAAGAAGACCTTTAAAGCACAACATGATTGCGACGCCAGCCCGATTGTCACACCATCTGGCCGTGAGATTGTAGGTCCGAAAAAGCGATCTTATTCACGTTCTGGAAACACGAAAAGACGTTGAGGCCGGCAGAACAGGAAAGATCTTCACAAATAACGGTCAAATGCCTGCATATCACAGCCTCGCCATTGAGCCATATCCTTTCCGGCGCGGAGCAACCATATACTAACACTCACAGGATACAGCCTCGCATAGTATCGGCAGTACTCCATCGGGTTCGGCTTCGATCCTTCGGTTTCGGCGCCGTCCATTCACATACCGCCCAACGAAGATCCCTGTCTTGTCCTATATACCCATGTCGTTCCATAAGACTTCTGCGACTGCAGGTCCCGCCATGCAGACATACTGATTATTTCCGCCTATATTGCCAGCCGAGCAGTCGGGTGTGCCAGTGTGGCATGATCGCAGCAATCAGGTACCTTTGCCACATGGAGGGTAAGACGGACGTGTTATCGGGTCCGTCTTAGCAGTTGGTATACACCCAAGCGATGGCCTCGAATTTGGAATCGCTACATAATAGCTTTTGTCTGGTCTTTTTCTCTCTGCGTAGTTGTCGTCGACTGCTTCATGGTGTATTCACCATTTCTACTCCATCATGTCTAACAGCGTTGCTCCAGAGGCTGTAATTGTATGTTTCATGTAATTCCTTTTGCTGTCATGACTCTGCTAACGTATCTGCAAAGCCCATCGAGGCAACCCTTATGGCCTTGGCCATATTCTTGGCTTCTGGTCGACTGGTTCCCCGCCTTTTACAACGACAGTATCCTACTGTTAGCGACAGTCTCTTGATAGCGTCTATCCTGGATGCCATCGGCCTTTTCGTTACCGACTACCTGACGTACATATGGGGTGGCATGACGGATGATGCAGAGGCATCGACCGCTCGTGTGATCGCTCTCAAGAAGGTGCAATTCGCCGGCAATGCATTCTACGACACTGGCATCTACTGGCCAAAGTTGGCAATCCTCGCGCTATACTATAGGCTCATCCCTCCGACGATGCCGTGGTTGCGAAAAGCACTTTACGCAGTGACCCTTTTCACTGCAAGTGCCATGGTATCGACATTTTTTCTCGACACTTTCTGGTGCGGGCGCCAGGTCTCTTCGAATTGGTCCGCTGATGAGGCAGCGTGTAATACGTTCAGCTCCAAAGAGGTTTTCAGGATCGACTGGAGCCTTAATATCACCTCCGACATGTTCAGTGAGCAATCCTGTATCATCCAGAGAGCGCATGAATCACTAACATCAAACCAACAGTCTTCGCGTTGCCATTCCCCCTACTTCGTTCACTACAGCTTCGGCGTCGCCAGATCTGGGGTCTTGTAGCGACATTCTCACTTGGCATTGTCACGATAGCAATGAGTGTGCTTCGGTTCGCAACGATAGAGGTCATATATGCCTGGACCAACGTCTGTAAGTGCATGCAGTCAAACACAACTTGAACTGCCGCTAACACATATATAGACGTCCTGTCCATGACCGAAATGGCTGTCGCCATCATGGTAGTCTCATTGCCGTCGATGAGATCTTTTCTACGACGCGGCAGCCTCTTCTCGTCGAACAAGAAATCGCACTCTTCTGGGTCTCGTACATATGGACACCAAACACCAGCATCCGGGTCGCACAATTTTTTGCGTCCTTCCAGAAGAGGCAAGCACACCGCCCGCGTGCATACAGATGAAGACTCGGGCAGCGAAGTAGAGCTGAACACCATGTCAAGGAAAGATGTCATTTACGAGACGCGCCGCGTTAGCGTGCAGTTTTCAAAGTCGCCTGATGAGGAACACGAGATTTCTGCCAAGTACCCATGAGGGTGGTTCAGGAGTCAATTCCATTGAGATGTAGCTAGTCGCTAATAGCAGCAAAAGCAAAAGTAATTCGAAGGATTGAACAAAATCTGTCTGTACGAGGTTTAGCAGCCGGGTCATCTCAACATTGTAGTGTTACTTAATAGACCCTTGCCGTTGGGCTGACCACTCGCATCAACCCGGAATGATTGCGCTACCATCCCGCCCACTGCGGTCCGCACACGCCACCAGAACGCCGCCGAGCGGTATATTCTTCCAGCCGAGCCGCAATAGTCCATGGCTCCGTGAGTTTCAATCACCTTTGCAAATACTCTTGACTGTGCCGCATTGCTGCCGTTGAAGCTGTGGATCGGCATTGGCCGAAGGGTCTGCATGCGGGAGGCCTCGTTTGGCAAAATTCATCCACCGGTTCGCCTAACCGAACACCAAAGGAAGCTACGATGCTTGACCAAGCTTATCAGCAGCGAAGGGCCGAACAAAACACAACCACGAATTAGATGTTACACAGCCTTGATGCTCACTCAGATATCCGTTGCACAACCCAGGAAATAAGACCTCACACGCTCGTCCCATGCGCCTGAAAAGCCCCTCCCACCAAGGACCGAACCCACCGACACGGTACAGCCGTGTGTAAACCGCAAGGATCACAGTTGGAATCAGCCCATCTAACACGGCAGCCAGAACGCCTCAATTACAGGCAAACTTCCACGCGCCTGCATGCAGGGCTGACCCATTGCCATGCGATTCGACAATTCGAGGACAGAAGTCCGACCCCAGTTTCGCTTGATAGGCGGTAGAATTCTTCGCCCAGACATACCCTCAGAAGCTATGGTATAATGGATGCGCGGCAGAATATAGTACCCTGCATGCTATGGGAATTGGCTCAATATACATACTCCTTGCAGTACGCTGATGCAAGCGAGTGCGGCGCAACTATCTACCCAACGGCTTTTATCCTGACTGTTTCGTGACTGCGCTCTGTCACACAACAGGTAGCAACGAAGATGGCTCACTACATTGATGGGAAAGACTGCATGGTAAGTTAGTTGGTGATAACAACAAGAGATCTACGAAGAGGAAACACGGTGCTGACTTGTCACAATGTGATAGATCTCAGAATGGATCCTCCTGATCTTCGCATACTGTTTCGTTGCGGCGCGCATGTACACGCGCCTGTTTCGTCTGCGCTCGAGGTTGGACGCGTCGGATTATCTGTTGTTGGCTTCTGCGTTGGTTGCGTTGGGGTTGATCATTTGCGATACACTCACGTATCAGATGGGTGTGCTGGATGAGTATGAGACGTCGGAGAAGCTGTCGAAGGTGAGTTGTCCTTCTGGCAATCGCACTCTGCACACATCTGACCCCTTGTACAGATCTCATTCGCCTCGAACTACTTCTACGATGTCGGAATGGGCTTCCCCAAACTCAGCATGCTGGCTTTCTACTGGGCGTTCTTCAACCTCGCTGGTCACCCTGGACTGCGCAAGATGCTCTTCGGTATCACGGCTTTTGTCGTCGCGAGCTACCTGACTATCCTCTTCGACGATACCTTCTTCTGCGGCACACCTGTATCCGTCCAGTGGTCTCAGGAAGAGGGCGCATGCTCCGTCTTCTACGCGCCAGAGCCGTTCATCTTGAACTTTACTCTCAACTTGGCTTGCTACCTGGCGGTCTACGCGGTTCCTGTTGTGCTCCTGATGAAGGGTGTGTTGAGGTCATCGGCTGGTGTGGGTCTTACGTTCGCGCTCGGTGCGCTCACTATTGCCTCGAGCATTGTACGCTTCGCCTGCCTCAAGATTGGTACTGGTCAAGAGAACCTTGTTTGTAAGTTCACCTCTCAGTCTACTATCTATGGTATGCGCGAAAACGAAGCTAATGTCGTTTCCTGCAGATCCTTTGAGTATGGTGGAGATGACTCTTTCGATCATTGTTGTTGCGCTGCCAGGACTGAAGCCTCTCGCGAGGAATACCAAGGTCTAGATGCTGAACAGATGGTGGTCAGTGTGGGGAAAACTGATTTGCGATCATCAAAAATAGACTGGAGCGGCAAAAGACTTCGAACTGGCCTTAACGCTCGTAATACATTTCTAGAACGGTCGCGTGCTCAATATTGGTGATACGTTTATGCTGTGATGAGCCGCTGTGTAAGGCTGTGAGACAAGCTTCCAGCGGGTGGAATGTAGCACCTTCCTAGCGCGGCGGTGCCTTCCTTCTGATCAGACGCGTAAACATACGCCACTATCTGGTACGGCACTGTTCCTCTGAGTTTCGCTCTTGAACTAATCTACTCGTGTATCAGCCACCGCGCTACGTACACTATATCTCTACAGACCCCGAAGCCATTACCACTGGATTGTGAACGGGTATGTCGTTAGCCGCAACGCCTTCCCACAGCCAACACCAACAGCATCGGATTGGCGGCCTCGCCACGCTCAGACGTCTGACGCGAGACCTCAGCTCAACCTTCTCAAGGCATTTACAGGCTACATGGGACGCCTTAAGTCGCTGGATAGCCTCATCAATCTACGCCGAAAGACTGCTATCTGGAAATGAGATTCGTGTTCTCCACATCCGGCCCTCTTCTAGACGAAGTCGACGACTAGAATGCGAACTCAAGCTTGTCAACCTCGATGAATCACCCGTCTACAACGCACTATCGTACGTTTGGGGGACTGACCCACCCAGCGTTACGATCATATGCAACGGTCAACGTCTCAAGATCCGAGAAGAACTTTCGCATGCTCTTGTACGGTTGAGGCTTGAAGATACCACGCAAATCATCTGGGCTGATGCCCTTTGCATCAATCAGGACGACAACCAAGAGAAAAACCATCAAGTTCCTCTCATGAGCAAAATCTTCTCGCAGGCAGCGAGGGTCAACGTCTGGCTCGGTCACGGTGATGAGATCGTCATCAGAGAAGCATTTGGGTGTTGTAGGTTGGTCGCGAATGCATGCTGGGATTTTAGCTTGGAACATGATATGGATTTGGACGATGATGAAACCCACGGAGCAGTAGAAGTCCCAATGACCATCTTCACACCTATGGCATGTAGGAGTCTGACGGATCTGTTCGAGCGCCCGCTATTCTCAAGAGTTTGGTGTATACAGGAAATCAAGTTGGCGCAAGATGCACAGGTAGTTTGGGGCGAGCAATACTTACCCTGGGCGGAGGTTGGTCTGACAGCGTTGTGGATTTTCAACAAGAGTTATCGGATGGCTAACAGCGATGAAGCCCCAAGAAATCTACTAGAAGAGGTGTGCATTGGGGACGCAGACACCATTTACGAGTTGAATCCCGGTAGTTGGTCACTGCTCGGAACATTATCGAGATTCCGCAAGTTCCAATCAACAGATCCAAGGGACAAGGTGTACGGTCTGATTGGCCTTGTTAGATCTCCGTCAGACGGAGATCTAATGATGCCAGACTATGAGAAGAGTACAGCACAGGCCTTTACCGACACGGCATTGCACACTATCACTAGTACTAAAAACCTAGTGGTCTTTACGCACGTAGCACACCATGCAGATTACGACGGAGATTACGAATACCGGTCATGGGCACCACGTTGGGACATTCCTCACAATAACACTTTCATAGGTCACGCCTTCGAGGCCCCTGAACATGGCGCCTGTAACGGACGTGAAGCCCAATTCGTGCTTACGAAACATTCCGGAAACAAGCAGTTATCCCTTACTGGCATCTTTCACGCCAAAGTAATCACAGTTGATATTGTATTCGACATGTCAAAGTCTGATGGACTTCAAATGTATCAACAAGTCGTTGAGCTTTACGAGGGGATCGATTGGAACGCCCCCATGAGCGACGTGGCTTTGCCGGTGCTAGCTCGGACATTAAGTACTGGTCATGACATGAGAAGTCGCTATATCAACAGACTTGATAAGAATTCACGTCGCGCACACTACGCAGCATTTAGACGCTACCTTGAATGGTATCGTGACCCAACGGCGGACTTTGACAGCTTGCGTGGCGACGCACTCGAATACCACAATCAACTAAGACGCTGCAGCCGGAACCGTCGCTTCTTTTGGACATCGAAAAAGGACTATGGTATTGGTCCAGCATGTATGCGTGAGGGCGATATCGTCGTGGTGCTCTATGGGGGTAGTGCGCCGTTCGTGTTGCGACGGAAAGGCGACAAGTTTCTCATGCTAGGCGAAGCATATGTCGACAGTATTATGAACGGTCAGCTTGTAAAGGAAGTCGAAAAAGGGCGCCGACAAGAGCAGGAATTCTGTCTCATATAGACAAGCGGCGATACTTTCAAGGTTGACCCGTCTCCACGTGCAGGCGCTACCTCTTCGGCGACAATCGTCACCCCGCGTTCCCCCACACCCCAACCTCCGCCATCCTGAAGCACAAGCATCAAGCCACGAAGAGAATTGCACTGGGCGCTTTCTCGGCGAACTTCATGCCGATCAGCATTGCAGCGTGCCTCCACCGTGTTCTTTTAATCTATCGCGTTCCTGTCGCGTCGCTAACAACCCTGGCCCTTAATATGGAAAGCGGAACATCAACGCGGAGACGTCATGGGACCTCGCGCGAAGTGAAAAGGACAGAATGCAAGAAATATGGGTGATGGAATATATAGTTTGGATTCGACGGTGATCAGTTTTGAGCTTTACACGCAATTAGCACACCATAACCTTCACGATTGTATACTCAGCTCGTCTGGCGTCGCTTTACTTCGACAAACAGAAATTCAATCGACTCAACATGCGATTCCTCTCACTCCTACCCCCAGCGCTCCTTGCAGCAACAACCTATGCCAACTCAGACGACTCACCCCCCTCCTCCACACCCGCCGCCGACGAGCCCACGCCCGTAGGCGCCCTCTGGACCGCCCAATGGGACGCCACAACCCTGCAACCCTACACACAACACTGCCACTCCAAATCCACCTACAACGCCAAAATCTACAAGCTCAACGAACTCTACCCGGACCTAAAAGACGCCGCCCCCCAACTAAAAGTCTTCTACAACAAGCAACTCTACGCGGGGTCCTGGGGCGGCATCGACGTGCACGGCACCGGCCGCGAACTTATACAGATGAACATGGCCGACATGCCGTATAAAGTGCGGGAGTGGCTGAAGACCGAGATGCTGCAGAGGCATTATAGTGTGCAGGATGACATGGTGTTTTTTGCGCCGGGCGCGATTTACCCGATTTTGCCGCTTTGGGTTGATGATGCTGAGGAAGCGGAGTGTGAGGGTGCGTTTGATGGGTTGGAGAGTTATTCGAATGAGCCGAGGGATGGGGCGGTGATTGGGAAGGTTGGGCATACGAATACGGGGGAGAAGGAGGTTAGGTTTACGGTTGAGGCGTTGAAGGTCAAGGCGAAGAGTGAGAGGAATGAGTTGTAGGAAGTAAGATGGTGGTGGGGTTTGTCTTTTCTATTGTTATGGGGTTTGGGTTTAAGAGGTTGTTCATGTTATTGTGTTAGCTGTGGTGTTCTTTTCCTATCCTTCAATACATCGCTATGGGGTATCATCAAATCAATTCTATGGATTCAACGCCGTGCAAAGCACTTCATATCCCGCATGGTGACGAGGCGATGCCATTATTTGACGACATCGAACATATGCCCTTCACTCTTTGCGGGGCAGCTCTTCGCTTTGTGTCCTACCTCTTTGCAAACATAGCAAGCCAACGGGCCTTTCACCTTCGGCTTCTTGGCTGGCTTGCTTGTCTGCTCGGAGAAAGACACGTTTGCCGTACCGTTGGTTGGAGGTAGAATGCTGGGTTGATCAATTAAAGTAGGGACGCCATTGACACCTTGATCCTTCGGAGGCGCTGGACGTAGATGTTTCATCTTCGGTGCTCTGATTGGCTTCGCAGGCTTCTGAGGAGCCGAGGCGTCCATGAAAGGTGCAGTGGCCTCTGGATGTACAGCAGTGGTGCCGTTCGCGACCTCTTTTGCCTTCGGTTTACGAGGGACTGGAAGTTTAACAACAACCTTTGCGGGTGCAGGTATTGGTGGCGGTGGTTTACTAGTCACCTCAATCTTCGGCGCAGGCCTTGTACCAGCGTGAGGTTGGGGTTTATTATCGGCGGTGGCTTCGACAGGCTTCATGGGACAGTCGCGGGCGAAATGGCCTTGCTCGTTGCAGGTGTAGCAGGTGGCTGGTGGACGAGTCGCCTTCTTCTTGGTCTTCTTGGAAATTGCTGAATCGGTGGCGATCGAGGGCTCGACGGGCGGCGTGTTCGTTGACGAGGGTTCCACCACCTGCTCTACGTTCTCGTACCCGTTCGCATTCTCTGCTTCTGCGAAGGCTTCGGCTTGTTGTTCTGCAGCAGCCTTTGCGTCACGCTCTGCCATTTCCCTGTTGAGACGCTCGACCGTCTCTTTGGTGACACGCTCTATAGTCTCCCTAGTGACACGTTCCACTGTCTCTCTAGCCACACGCTCTAACATTTCCCTGGCCTCGCGCTCTGCCGTCTCTTTTGCTTCCAGCTCGGCGCGAAAGTTGGCCTCTTGTGCTGCGAGTACCTCGGCCTCGTGTTCTTTGGCTTCACGTTCCGCGCGCTCTTGAGCCTCGTGTGTTGCACGCACCTGGGCCTCGTGTGCCGCGTATTCTTCAGCTTCCCGTGTCTCACGCTCCTTCGCCTCGAGCGCAGCGAGCTCTCTTGCCTCACGCTTGGTCTTTGCTTTCGCCTCCTTCTCAGCCTTTCGTTCTGCCTCTTGCTCGGCGATCTCACGAGCTTTCTGAGCGTCTTGTTCGGAAGCGTTTTCTTCTTGGGCTTCACGTCCATCCGCTATCTTCTCGTTTTCATCCTTCTTCTGTGCCGCCTTTTCCAGAGCGGTCCTCTCCTTTGCGGCCTTCTTCCGAGCTGCCTTCTTCTCCCTAGCTTCCTGCTCACGAGCTTCCTTCTTCTTACCCGCTACTAGCCGGGCAGCTTCCTGCGCAGCTGCCAGCTCTCGTGCTGCTTTTGCCGCTTCAGCCTTCTCTTTCGCAGCCTTCTCCTGTGCCGCCTTCTCTGCAGCTTCTCGTGCGAGCTTGGCTTGTGCTTCACGCTCTGCTTTTCGTCTCGCCGCCTCGGCTTTGCGCTCCTGTTTTTGTCGCTGGGCTTCTTCCTTACGCGCAAGCTCTTCTGCTGCCTGCTTTGCGGCCTCTTCTTCGGCGTTGTGTGGTTGCTCTGCTTCTTCTCCATTGGTTTGCTCCTCGTCCTGGTCTCGCTCGACCGAGTCGGATCCTTCCGGATCAGAGTGGCGTTTAGTCGTCTGAGGCTTCTTTCCGCCCTTGCCTTTCTTTCCCTTCCCCTTCTTTGGCGCCACGCCAGTGCCGTGAAAATTGAACGGGTGAATTGGGGATGACGCTTCGATCTTCTTCTTACAACCTCGGCAGGCAACAGCTCCACCACTTGGACAGCGATAACTGTATTCCTGTACGTGAGCGGCGCAAAACAGGCAAGTTTGTCTCCCCTTCTTCCGTTCCCACCCTAGATCCATAATGGAGTCGTCGTCGGGACGTAACCCAGCCTTCCGGAGTTCAGAATCATAATCGCGTTGCAAGCTGATGACCCATAATTGCGCCATGGCGCGCTTCTTTTCTGGGTCGACGATACGTATACCATCACCCTCTGCTTGTCGAGCCGCAGCCGCCTTCTTCAGTCGCTCGATACATTGCTTATTGATGTCTTCGATTGCCGATTTCCTGGCCCTCTCTTCAGCGTTACGTCTAGCCGCAGCTTCGAAGTTCTCGCGCCGTCGGAGCAATTCTGCCAAGAGGATTTCCTCCGGGTCGTAGCTGTCAAAGCCATCAAAGCCACCACCGAAGCGGCCACCTCCAAAGCTAGGGCCATAGCCGCCAGAGTAGTATTCGCAATCGCTGTCGTCGTCGTACTCGTACTCGTATTCGTCCTCGTAGAAAGCCTCTGCCTCTGCCCACGCCTGCTCCTGCGCCGCCCTTCGCATGGCCGCCGCACGGCGATCCGATTCGGCCTGAGCACGAATCCTCTCTGCGGATTGCTTCTGCCGCCATGCATTCGGGTTCCGCATGTATTCGGCATGTTCCCTCCTGTAGGTGTCCCATTGTGTCCGTATACTGCTATAAGACTGATCGTAGCGCGCTTTGCCTTTCGGATCCCTCAGGATGTCGTAGGCTTCTTGGATTCGTCGGAAGTCGGCTGCATCGACAGCTTCGCCTGGCGCCTTCTTGTCGGGATGATGGAGGAGAGCGAGGCGGTGGAAGGCGGTCTTGATCTCGGCACTAGAGGCTGCTGGGCTCACTTCGAGGTCCGCGTACGCGTCTGGTAGCTTGGGCTCCGCGGGGCCCTCCATGGTTGAGTTGGAATTGGGATTGTCGTGGCTGTGGGGTGGGTGCGTGGTTCGGAAGAGCCTTTCTCGCGGAAAAGTTGAGCGCGTAGCCCTTTGGAAGTTGAGTACAGGAACGAGTACCTGCAGCCTCACAGCGATTCATTGCTTTGGACGCTCGAAACTTCTAGACAAACGCGTCGTAGCGTGGAGGCAGGGGGCGCACGGATCAAACGCGTTATCAGGTGCTCTTATCTCCGCACTGTCACTAGTGGAGAACCTGTGGATCTGGTCTACCCCACACGCGACTCCCAGATTTGCTTGTAGCACTAAAGCGAATGCATTACTACTTAAAATAGTTTTCTCACCTACTATGAGACGACATAGCGCCCGTAGTGTACCCTCATTCCACAGCCTTGACCTTACGATCACCCTCATCCCCATGCGCGTACGCATAAGCATCAATACTATGTTTTGCAAACGCCCTCGCAGGCAACCCCTCCGCAAACATAATATCCAACTCCTCATACGTCCTGCCCTTCGTCTCCGGAAGACGGAAAAACGTCCAAACAAAAAAGATCAGTGCGCCTCCACCCCAGAAGAAGCCCGTCTTACCCTTCCAATCACCCGCGGTGGGGTTCAGCATATACGGATTGATAACGTTGGTGAGGATCTGCGCGATGTAGTAGCTGATGCGAGCCAGACACACACTCTTGCTGCGAAGACGCGTGGACGAGACTTCTCCGACGATGGCATAGCAGATGGGTCCGACGGTCATGTAGTACCAGAAGAGCCAGATGATCATCATAGCAGCTTGGGCGTAGTTGCCGCCGGACGAGTCGCCGGCGCCTACGCTGATGAATCCGACGATGAAGAGGATGGCTGCTAGACCACCGAGGCCCCAGAGGTAAAGCTTTCGACGCCCGATGTAGCTCATGAGGACCCAGGAGATTAGTGTGCCGACTGATGCCATGCCGAGACCGCCGACGGACATCTTGAAGGAGATTGAGGTTGAGACTCCTGCCTGGACGAAGAAGTACGTGGGTGTGCCGCCCATAACGGAGCCGCAGATGGGTTGGGCTGCGAAGACCATGCACGCGATTTCTGTGCGGCGGCGGTCGATGCCCTTGAAGCATTGAAGGTAGGATGTGTTTTCCTCAAGCGACTTCTCCAGTTCGTTTGTCCGAACCATCATCGCGACCTTTTGCTTAGCCATGTCACGTTGGGAGACAGACCCAAGACGGATGAGCATTTGCTCGGCCAGTTCGAGATTGCCGGTACGAACGTGGTACCATGGGGACTCGGGTGCCATCCAGAGGATTGCAAAGAGTGGGATAGGCCATGCCCATTGGATGGCAAAGGGTATCCGGTATGCCCATTGTGTGTTGTTGCCTGAGAATGCGGATTGTACTCCAGCGGAGATGAGTTGTCCGAATGCCCAGCAAAGGTTGACGTATACAGTGAGGTATCCTCGCAGAGCTAGCGGACACACCTCACTCGCGTAGGCGGGCGCCATGGTAGCGAAAACCCCCCAGGGTATACCGCAGAGGAACTGACCGACGAGGAGGACGGGGGCGTTAGGCGCGAAGAAAGAGATAAAGATCAGCGCGCAGATAGAGGCAAGCGATACCAGCAAGACGGGACGGTAACCGAATCGATGAATAAAGTACCCATTCGCAAATGCGCCGATGATAGTGCCCACGCTCACAGCATTGCTGAGTCCATTCTGCCACGATGCTGTTATCTCATATGTCTGAGTGCGTTGATTGAACTCTCCATATTTGCGCGAGAAGGACGGCTGCGCGAAGAAGGAGCTCATCAAGACGATGTCGTATCCTTCCATGATGATGCAGGTGGATAGCAATACCGACCAGAGCACAGCTTTGGGGTATTTGCGAATGGCTTGCATCAACGTCATCTCGTGTTCCTCGTCGGCAGCCGCTTTGGCCTGGTCGAAGGTAACCTCGTGGTGTTCCATGGTCGCGGCCTTTTCGTCCATGTTTGCCATGATGGGTCGGATTGGATCTGTGCGTGCACCAGGTATGTAGAAGCAAAAAGAAGACAGCGGACCAAAGAGTCCGGATACAGATCTCAGGAACTGGTGGTTGTGGTGAAGTATGTGGATCTACGGACATGGCCACGGTATATACATAGTCGGTCATCCTGCACCAAGCCGCTCGATCATCCATGCATGGAACATGGCTGCTACCCCAGGTTTTCTCCACCGGAACACATCTACCCCATGGGGTACATGCCAGGCTTGGCCTGTTCCTGCAAAGGCCACACTCCGGTGGAGATGTTCCTAGACGCGGCATTTTCCAGGAAGATGCGTGCGGGGCGTGACCACTCTACCGGTAGCGTGGATCCTTCACTGAGGCCCCCGATGGGGAAGCGCCGTGAGGCTCCGGCGTCTATTGCGCCGAAGAATACGAGAACTTGGCCGTTGCCAGTCATGGTACTACCGTGATCGCGGGCTTGCCAGCATGACCGAGGTATTGTGAGGGCGGGTGACACGCTAAGCAGAAGCTGTAGGGAACCTGTTTCCAGGATCTACTCTTCCGATGAGATGAGATGTGGTGAAAGCTTAAGGTCGGAAACATTGTATGATACAGGCTGCATGACATTCATATTATCGCTCTTTCGTGAGAAGTCGAAGCAGGTTCATATAAGACCGTTCGATGCCCCATGTGTGACCCACGCCTTGCGCAGAAGACGGTGAATTGGCGTCTGGACTTGATGTGACCCCAGAGCTTTTGGCTAGAATTGAAATGCCTTCTTTCGCAATTCGCACTGGAGCTGCTTCATGCTCTAGACTGCCGACATTGGCAATATATGCGGACATCTTATGCCCCATACGCACATACGTCTGTACTAGCTCATCGTCCAATGGCCGGTCAAGATGAAGGAATGATGGTTCCGGTTCCTCATCTGACTCAGAACCAATGGCTTCAACGGCTTCGGGAAGATGCATGCAGACGCAGAAGGTCCAAAGTATGAGTGTCGCAATGTAAATCGCATATGGCTCGAACAGGCTGCGACAACTGTACCTGCGGACGTGCCAGAAAAGGGCCCCACAGTGCACCAGACACAGTCTAGCTTTGCAGTGATCTCGAATGACCCATTGTAGGACCTGAATTCGCGCCGTCGCGAATGACTGTCCGTCTTCCGCATCGACTAGCGCGGCTTCGTTGGATGCAGATCCCGATACGAACCGCTGTATGGCGCTAGTGGGCGCAAGTATGATCAGGCGAGCTAGATGCAGCTGGAGGATAGTGTGGTGCTCGAAGCCCGAGTGACGTGCGACCTTACTATTCGCAGGCCAATGCAGGACATCCAAGCTATCACAGGCGCTATTACGCCACTTGATGGAAGACCGCGTTGTCGGCGACCAGTCTTGTTGTATGGGTGGTGGCATATCGCTACGTCGCTGTGGCGTAGATGTTGGTGTCCATGAGTTAAGACGAATGCGATCTCGGGCCACAACGTCCCGGGTATGGCGATAGATGGCACTGACAAGTAAGCCCATGCTGAACTCTCCCAGATCGACGGGTAACCGCTTTTCCACGTAGATCATCTCTAGTGCTTCCATAAAGGTAACACTTGTAAGACGCCTTTGATTCCGTCGAAGCAAGCCTGGTTGGTCCCATACCTCCTCGTGACATGGCAACAATACGTCAATATCGTCGAACTGGATGAGGGGCTTGGCCTGAAACTGATACACGAACATCGTATCGAGTGTCTGCTGCAGTTAGTTACGCGTCTTCCGATAACAATAAGAACAAATTACCCAAACCATCATCCCAGTACGAACCATTGCCTCCCTAGACAGCCATTCACGAAAGTCGGGGTTGTGCTCAGGATCAGCCGTCCTTGTCAGATCATAAGACTTCCTCGTCTGAACAAGTAGACGGAGTCTGTGGCAGCCCTCTACTAGAAAGTGTCGTTCTACATGGGCACGTTCTACCAGGATTTTCTTACCCGAATGCAGCATGCAAGCGATATTCAGGATGCCAGCTTGTAGAATCCGTAGATCTGGGTGGGCAACGAACCGGGAATAGCTCGGGCTGTAATCAACGTCCTCGTTACCTGCCGAACCTTGTGGGTCTAGTCCATATTTGCTTCGCGTGAGGATAGTACTTAGCAGACCAAATAGAGATTCGCTTGTTTGGGAATGCTGCAACAGCCGTGAGCACTTTGAGCCAATAACAGAGACGGCGATTAGCAAGAGCCAGCTCTTGGAAGCATCTTGGGCGAAGGAAGACCGCCGCAGGAAGGGAAATACTGGGTGGAAATGGTCAAAGTATTGGCGAACAAAGATTACGACTTGCTCATACGTGGGAAAGTTCGAGGCGCTCATATCGACTGGGCTATCGCGGCTTTCAGCAGCAATGCCGTCCAGCAGAGATTGATAGGCTGCTGGTGGACACAATTTGTCTTCGTCAGAGGTATCAAGCGATGCAGAAGCATCATTAGCTTCCGCATTTTGCAAGTCGATGGTTTCTTCTGAGCAAATCGAGTGTTGCGATCTGCCACCGAACGGGGCTCTGGCACCTGCTCCGTCAACGTAGTATCTGTTTTCCGACGTCGATGTAGATATTACGGAGGCGGTATCCTTTGACTGCTGGTCAATATCGGGTATGATCCTATTTGGATCTGATGAGTGTGATGTTGTGGCGATCGCAGGTATTGAAGGTGTTGTTGGCGCGACGGAACAAGTCCATTGCTCCACGGTGCCATTAGCTTGGCCTCCGAAGTTTGCGAGTAGCGCATCCAGGTCAATAGGGCCTGAGTATTGGGGCGATAACCAGTTCACGTCTGACAGACTCATACCAGGCATGTCGAATGGGTCAGAAGCGAGCAAGTTGTTGTCGACGTTGCTGTTCCACGCCCATGCATTGACAGAGGATTGTCCTATTGCATCGTTGAAGTCCGCTGTTCTGAACTCGCCATTGCTGTCTCGATTGACATTGTTCGGATGCAGATCCCCAGTACTGAAGGCGTCTGTGGAGTCATTCGCGCCAGCATCC